AAAGTTCATTTATTTCAGTGCAGCAACTTAAAAGGTGAAACTAATATATGAGATAGACTCATTCCATGCAAAGCAAGATAGTTCAAGCCGTGATTTGTCATCATTGTGATGATTATAGCTTACAGCTCATGAAAACCCCAAATCCACAATCTCAGAAAATGAGAATCTTGTGAAAAGGTGGAATAATCTCGGCTCAAAGTGTCCAAAACTAATCAGCTCATTCAGCCATAACACACCTGCAAAGGGTTCCTGAGCCTTTCAATGGTCTCTCAGTCTGGTTCAGTAGGAATCACAATCATGGGAAAGACTGCTGACCTGACAGTTGTGCAGAAAACCATCATTGACACCCTTTTACCTTTTAAGTTGTATTACTGAAATAAATGAACTTTTGCACAATATTCAACGTTTTTGAGTTTCACCTGTACATGAAAAAAGACTAAAAATATTTTTTAAAAAACGATATTTTATACTTTCAACAATAAAGCATACCTAATAAAAAAATAAAAAAAATAAAATTCCTTCATAAATTTAGGCCAAAATGTATTCTGCTACATCTTTTTGGTAAAAATAATCCCAATAAGTGTCTACAAATTGGTTTGCGTGAAAGTTGTAGCATCTAAGAAGGTATACAGTATAAACTGAAATTTAAGCAGGTATGAAGCTTTACTGGTAATGGCGGTGATAAGTGACTTATAGTGGGACTGTGATAGTGTGGTGGGCAATCTGGTGCAAGCTGACTCTGGCTAGTTGAGACACTAACTGACATTAATAGTGACACTAATACAGTGACCAGTGCCAATACTGTACACTGACACTGCACTGATGACACTGAGAAGGGGTTAACATCTAGGGCAATATAAGGATTATCTAAGTGCTTAACAATGTGTAATGTTCCCTGCTTTACTTTACTATCTTGCTATTTTTTTTCTCCCTGCTTTGCAAGGAGAATAAACCCCCATGTTGCTGTTCCTTGTACACAGAGTTTTGTATTTTGATGCTTCCACCCCCCCCTGAATGGTGCATGGGCATTCTCCCTTCACTGCAACCAGCGGGGAGATTCTGTGTGTGATTGGATACAGCCAATCAGCTGAAATCTGCTGCCAATCTCACGCTATGTCCAATCACAGCAAAGGTTGCACGGAAGAAGGCTGATCGTGTTATGATCGTGCCTGCTCTTGCCACCTTCTCACAGTATATTTACTGGGTAATCAGTCTACACTACACTTTTCAGAGGCTGCAGGAGCAAGGAGCACTTCCCTTCCCACACACTAGATCGGCATTTTTCAACCAGGATACCTAGCCACCAATGGGGTGAATTCAGGTTTCTTCAGGGGTGCCTTGGCAAAATGCCTTAAAGATTGCCCAAAAACTGCATACAAGCCAGCGGGTGGATCAAGCCTGCCTTTTAGTTACTCAAAGCCCCAGGTCTTCATTGTGCACCATTACAGCCTTCTAGCTCCCGAAGCCATAAAAAACCAAATATATCATCAGTTGATAAGAAGGACATTGGGCACCTGCACAGCATCCATGTTTGCCCCTCACCCACCTCTCTTTGTCAGCACTGGGGTCACATTAGCTGAGTGAGAGAGTGAAACGGAGGGAGAGGAGAAACATTGGAATACTAATCAGTATCAGTGTGCAAAGGTGTATTTGCTTTATGAAGAAGAAATCACCTCTGAGGTTGGGTGTCACACATGCGCAGATGTTGCTGCCTTCTGTAAAATTGTTAGTTTTTTTTTTTTACATTTTGTAATGGGTGCCTCAAGATTATGCAGCATTTTAAAGGGAGCTTCAAGATTGTGCTGCATTTTAAAGGGTTCCTCAAGATTGTGAAGTATTTAAAAGGGTTCCTCAAGATTGTGCAGCATTTTAAGGGTGCCTTGAGAATTTGCAGAATTTTAAAGGGTGCCTTGAGATTGTGAAAAATTTTACAGGGTGACCCGAGATTGTGCAGCATTTTAAGGGAGCCTCGAGAATTTGCAGAATTTTAAAGGGTGCCTCGAGAATTTGCAGAATTTTAAAGGGTGCCTTGAGATTGTGAAAAATTTTACAGGGTGACCCGAGATTGTGCAAAATTTTAAAGGGTCTCTCGGGATTTTGCAGAATTTTAAAGGGTGTCTCAAGAGTGTGCACAATTTTAAAGGGTGCCTTGAGATTGTGCAAAATTTTAAAGGGTGACTCCATATCGTGCAGGATTTTAAAAGGTGCCTTGAGAGTGTGCAATTTTTAGAAGGTACCTCAAGAATTTAAAAAATTTTAAAGGGCGCCTTGAGATTGTGCAAAATTTTAAAGGGTGTCTCCAGATTGCGCAGAATTTTAAAGAGTGCCTTGAGAGTGTGCAAAATTTTAAAGGGTGCCTTGAGATTTTGCAGAATTTTAAAGGGTGCCTCAAGATTGTGCAAAATTTTAAAGGGTGCCTTGAGATTGTGCAAAATTTTAAAGGGTGCCTTGAGAGTGTGCAAAATTTTAAAGGGTGCCTTGAGATTTTGCAGAATTTTAAAGGGTGCCTCAAGATTGTGCAAAATTTTAAAGGGCGCCTTGAGATTGTGCAAAATTTTAAAGGGTGTCTCCAGATTGCGCAGAATTTTAAAGAGTGCCTTGAGAGTGTGCAAAATTTTAAAGGGTGCCTCAAGAATGTGCAGAATTTTAAAGAGTGCCTCAAGATTTTGCAGAATCTTAAAAGGTGCCTCGAGAATTTGCAGAATTTTAAAGGGCGCCTTGAGATTGTGCAAAATTTTAATAGATTTTGCAGAATTTTAAAGGATGCCTTGATATTTTGTAAGATTTTAAAGGGTACCTCAAGAGTGTGCAGAATTTGAATAGGTGCCTAGAGATTGTGCAGAATTGTAAGGGATGTCTTGACTGAAAAAAGGTTAACAAACACTGCATTAGACTATGGCTAGCTTTACAAATCTTTCACAACACATGGGAACTTCTCTATGGTCTCTATCCATTCTGTTAGCTTCTTTGCTGCCCTAACCCCATTGTGACTAAGACATCTCAGATTAAAATGCATTTCTAGATTGATATCACTGATGGGTTCTCTCTGTTTTACAGGTACCACCACCACGTCTCCTGATTTCGGTAAGTGTTTTGGGCGTTTTGTTGGCTTTCAGCAGTTGTGTGCCTAAACATTGCACCAGACAGACAACTTCAGTGTTAGAAGTATTATAATAAGAATCATAAAAGGGTCCCAATTCTAGATGGAGGATATTAAAAACAATGCTGAAGAAGTGTTTTCGATACAGAAGTGTCCATAAGGCGTAGAATCGATGTGTACAATGTTATAGTTAAGGAGGAAATAAAAAGTATATAATGCACACTGGAAATTCCCAGGAAACACTGACAGATAATTCATTATATTACATACCGTATAACAGGTTTCAATGTAGAATTTTTAAATGTTTTACTTCTTTTAACCCCTTACACTGCTGAGCATTGTCTTGGCCATCTTGCACGGCAAGTAAAATAAATGTGAGGCACTCACTACTAGTGACTATGGAGGGAGCTAAGAACCAGGGGCGGACTGACCATTTAGGCACTGCCCGAGGGCCCGGGGTCAATAGGGGACTCCATGAGATGCCCCTGGTACCTTTCATAGCCTTTTTGGGGTGTAGTTTGAGTGTGGGCGAGGACACAGGGGCCCATGATTTCCTATTGCCTGGGGGCCCCATCAGTTGTCAGTCTGCCTCTGTTAAGAACTGTGCATATTGCAGACAGTGCTCTTAGATACCCCACTCCTCAGACCTCTGTGAAATCACATCAGGGGGTCCCAGTCCTCCAGGTAAGTAGAGATAAGTCCAGGCATGTTTGGATCCTAATTTAGTGAGAAACTAAGCGCCTTCTCTTTACATGCAACAAAGTGACATATACCGCCTTACACAAACAATGTGTCTTCTATACAACAAAATACAAATAATTATTCAACCATTCAGTGTGCCAACAAAAATAAAAATAATACAAAAAATGTTAGCTTCCCCTTGGAGTAGAAAATCACTTGTGACCATATAATAAAATAAGGCGTGGCGCTAAACATACATAGTAGGTGAACAATACTCCGACTGCGATAGAAATATGTAAAAACCTAAAAGTCCAAAGTCAAGAACAAAAACAAAAAGCAAAAGTCCCACACCAGGTTGTAGATCAAAAACAATGGAGTAATCTTGTTTAGCGTCACACCTTATTTTATTATACGGTTACAAATGTTTGGATCCTAGCCTGAACCCACCTGAGAAAACCCACCAGGAAGCTGCCACTGTACCGGGCCAATCATAGGCAGTCAGGGAAATCTCCAACTCAACCCTGGACTAGTGCATGCCCCTGCTTTTAGATGATAGGCCCAATACAGGTGAAAGCATCCTTGTAGGCTCACTCAGGTGGGTTCAATATCCAACATGCCCAAGATTGTCCCTACTGGTAGGTAAGTATCCAAGTACAGCAATCCAAGAAAACAAAATCCAGGTCCCTCATGGTGTGACTCTTCTTTATTTTTAAACATAAAAAATGTTTTGCATGTTAGATTTATCTTCATTTAGGGTTTACCTGCCATTTAAAGTGTTACTAAACCCAAACCAGTACAATCAGTCTGTAGATGCAGTAAAGCATGCTTGTTATACTCACTGTGGAACCTAAGAGGTTAATTCTCTGCACTGTGTAAAAAGGATGTTTGATCCTGTCATATCTGCCCCTCCTCTTGTTCAAATGTTCACCTGATAAGACAGAATGAACCCGTAGTCACATGCACATGCTCAGTTTAGTATGTTTTTCTTTTCTTGGGAAAGTGCATGTGATCAGCACAGGGCCATTCAGCACTGTCCAGACAGAGGTCAGGGGTTTTGCATCCTCCTTGAGCAAAATGAAAACTCCTCCTAAAAGCTTTAATCAGTGCTCTGCTGGACACTGTTAGAAGTCAGAAGACTGCTCTAACTGCTGATGAAAAAAGGTATTTCGCAGTTTATATTTACTAAAATAATTGCACTTCCATGTTCTGTGTACTGTCAGAGACCGGATATAGTGACTGCAGGGTCCGGGGAGAGTGGATATAGTGACTGCAGGGTCCGGGGAGACCAGATATAGTGAATGCAGGGTCCGGGGAGAGCGGATATAGTGAATGCAGGGTCCGGGGAGAGTGGATATAGTGACTGCAGGGTCCGGGGAGAGCGGATATAGTGAATGTGGGGTCCGGGGAGAGTGGATATAGTGACTGCAGGGTCCGGGGAGAGCGGATATAGTGAATGTGGGGTCCGGAGAGAGCGGATATAGTGAATGCAGGGTCCGGGGAGAGCGGATATAGTGAATGCAGGGTCCGGGGAGAGTGGATATAGTGAATGTGGGGTCTGGGGAGAGCGGATATAGTGATTGCAGGGTCCGGGGAGAGCGGATATAGTGAATGCAGGGTCCAGGGAGAGCGGATATAGTGAATGCAGGGTCTGGGGAGAGCGGATATAGTGAATGCGGGGTCCGGGGAGAGCGGATATATAGTGAATGCGGGGTCCGGGGAGACCAGATATAGTGAATGCGGGGTCCGGGGAGAGCGGATATAGTGAATGCAGGGTCTGGGGAGAGCAGATATAGTGAATGCAGGTTCCGAGGAGAGCAGATATAGTGAATGCAGGGTCCGGGGAGAGCAGATATAGTGAATGCAGGGTCCGGGGAGAGCAGATATAGTGAATGCAGGGTCCGGGGAGAGCAGATATAGAGAATGCAGGGTCCGGGGAGAGGGGATATAGTGAATGCAGAAACTGCCGGATTAATTTTCAGATCGCTTCCGGACTGTGTAGTAGGTGATGACATCACAAGCGTGGGCTCTGCCCTACATGTCTTGTGAAAAAATACATCTTCTAGGGTTTTTGACAAAACATGTAGGGCACTACACATAATTAGTGTCACCAGGTGAGAGAATATAAGGAGAATCAGGAATCAGGACCTCTTTATGGAGGCAACAGGGGTCTAAACAGATACCTGGCCTCTCCACTTTTTGCTGAAGAAAGAAATCGAGGACACAAAGTCCCCAATCTTCTTTTTCTCATATAACCGTCACATGAATGGCTCAGAACTAGGAAGTGCTCATGAACAAATGCTTCCAGGTCCTGTTACGCTCAGGCCCAGTTTACCCTAGTGCAGGCCATGTACCCCACAATTGCGCAGTTACGGCAGCCCATTCATTTGAATGGGTTGCTGTGGCCATGTTTCATGCAAGGAAAAGGTGCATGCACCTTTTCCAAAATGCATTTGTGGGGAAACTACGTGATTCCAGCACCCGCAATCACACTGCGGGATCAAAAGGAATGGCACCCCTGTGTGTCTTGCAAGAAAAATGTGATGTGGCTGCGGGCAGTTGTGGGTAGGGGAACAGGTATGATTCCTGCCTCCACAACCAGCCCACAGCCTGTGCGCAGTGTGAAGCAGGTCTTAGGAAGAGTTTTGAGAATGTGAAAGGCATGTTCACCAATCCTATTGCTCTTCAAGCTGACATAAAAATACAGCAATTCGATTGACAAAGAGAAGGAACACCAGTTTCACAGTCAGTTGTAACCTAACTAGTAGCAGTAGTGCTTTGCGGGCAGTAGGGGGAGCAAATGGGGCCACCCCAATCAATGTGATTGGTAGCCTGACAACTGCTGATCCCACCCATACCCAAGAAAATTACTGTAGGTTTTAGGTTGCTAAAGGGACTATGAGCTTCCAGTGTGAGTAAATGCAGTCATAGTAAGGTCTATGCCAGGGGTGTCAAACTTCATTTCAACACTGGCTGTATCAGCATTATGGTTCCCCCCAAAGGGCCGGTTGTATCTGTAAGACTAGATGTCCAGAGTACCCCACCCCCCATTACATCAGAAGTTAAGAATCCCACGCCCTCCCTAACATCACCGTGCACCCCCTTGGGGGCAGAGCTGGAATGCAGAAAGTGCAGGGTCTGGAGGAGGAGTGGAGACAGTTACCAGAGTCTGAAGAATGCTGAGACCAAGGGAGTCAGAGATGAGCAGGTGCTGCTGCTGCACTGAGAGGTGCAGGTTTGGCAGAGGAGTTCCATTCTCCTCTGCTGCCGACTGCTGAGACAAGGTGGGGGCGGAGAAAAGGGGGGGAACCTGAAGGAGGGGTGCAAGGGCCACATGAAATGGCCTTGAGGGCCAGATTTGGCCCACGAGCCTTGTGTTTGACACCTGTGGTCTACCTGTGGTCTACGCTGTAACTACTACGGTGGCAGCAGTAAAAAAGGTTTGATCTGTATGATCCACCAGCATGACGTTAAGACTTCTTCAGAAACTTTGCTGTTGACAATGTTCTGCCTAGAACTGGGATGACTTATTATGGGGTAAAGAATGTTCACGTAACAAAGTTGTGGTAACTTGGTATCATGTGATTATCATGATGGATTCTGATTCTGACTGTCTCTTCTAGGTTTTGGTATTTCAAGAATTAACATTTTGCTCCTTCTACTGTTTAATTTATAAGTTCAGCATTGTTTGCTTCACAAGGAACTTAGTTTGTGCATTATATAGACAGGTCACATGGTGGATGCCAAAGAATTTCCCATCAACAGCACCCAACAGACCTGTTCAGTGGAAAGTTTACTTCTTTTGTCCTTTTGTCCTCTACTGGAACTAAAATAAATAAAAAGTCAATGAAAACGTTTGAAAGGTGGCCATGGCAAAAATAAAATCTAAAAGTCTGTTTGACGAAAACATTACAAAAAAAGAATCTCCAGTATACCAATAAATAGTGAATTTCCAGGTTATCACCATACCAGATCCATAGTCACACATTCTAATACGCCTTCAGATAATGAGCATTGTTGGACAACTCTTTATTCTTTGAGGATATTATATAAATGATATATTTGTAAGATTATTTTAAAATAAAACCGTTTTAGAGGTCACATTATCAAATATTCATCCCCTACTACCTCCATGTGGCTGCACCTCTGCCTCTCCTTCTCCTTCCCCTATCTCTTACTACCTCTGTGACCCCCTGTCACTGACCCTAGGTTCACATTTGTGTGGGTGGTGCCACTGCGGATCCGCATGAAAATCCGTGCAGCCGCACCACCCTCACAGAGAATTGCGGACCCGCGGGTGGGTGTCATTAGTTCTAATGGCACGCCTCCCGCACTGGAAAATGCAACCGTACTGGGAACTGAGGTTCCTGTGCGGGCTTCGTTTTGCAAGGAAGTGCAAGGACTTCTTTCCCTGCATGTCATGGGCATGGGAGTCCATTCAAAATGAATGGGCTCTCGTGCCCGTGCAAAATGCAGCCCTCACGGCCGCATAGATGTGAACCGGGGGTGAGAGAGGATGTTGGGATAAATCTCCACAACATGGACACAGATGGTAACCTTCTCCTACCTATACAACAAAAATAATAAAAAAGAGAACAAAGAAGCTCTAAAAATAACATTTTAAGAAATGTAAACTTTAAAGAAAGAATTCGCTTTTTTTTTAGTTTCAAAGCACACATTTAGAAAACGTTTTTCCATAAATGTATTGAATTGTTATCGAATAAAGGTAATACATTGTGAAACTAACTGCATTTACAATGTCATTTCAGAGAATCAGACAAATTCCTCTTCAACAATTTATACGACAATTCCTACTAATGCCACCACTGAGATTTCATATCCCAATACAGACCATACAGCTCTCACTACGGAAACTTCTTCCACTAATACTCTTACTACATCAAGTCTTACTACAGAGTCCCTTTCTACAACAGCATTAAGTACACAACAATTACTGCTGATACAGCTTCTACGGCTTTGTATCCCACTTTGGGTGTCCAGAATGATATAACGGACTCTGCACCTACAGCATCTGACAAACCCACAACTTTTACTATGGAAACTCCTTCTGCTAATCCTGTTACTACATCAGTACTTACAGTGGAGTCTCCTTCTACAACAGCTTTAAGTACTACAGTTGCTGCTGATGCTGCTTCTATGACTTTGTATCCCACTATGAGTGTCCAGAATGTTATAACTGACTCTGCACCTACAGCATCTGAAAACCCTACAGCTCTTACCATGGAAACTCCTTCCACTAAGGCTGTTACTACATCAGCTCTTACAATAGGGTCTCTTTCTACAACAGCTTTTAGTATGACAGTTGCTGCTGATTCTGTTTCTACAACTTTGTATCCCACTGCAGACATCCAAAGTATTATAAGTGACTCTGCACCTACGACATCTGATAACCCCACACAGCTCTTACCATGACAGCTCCTTCCACTGATGCTGTTACCTCATCAATCTTACAATTGAGCCTCTTTCTACAACAGCTTTAAGTCAATTGTTTCTGCTGATACTCCTTCAACAACCTGGTATCCCACTACAGACTTCCAAAATATTATAACTGACTCTGCACCTACACATCTGAAGAAACCCACAGCTCTTACCATGAATGCTCCTTCCACTGAGGCTGTTACCTCATCAGATCTTACAATGGGGCCTCTTTCTACAACAGCTTTAAGTGCAACAGTTGCTGCTGATATTGCTTCAACAACATTATATCCCACTGCAGACTTCCAAAATATTATAAGTGACTCTGCACCTACGGCATCTGATAACCCCACATCTCTTACCATGAAAGGTCCTTCCACTGATGCTGTTACCTCATCATATCTTACAATTGAGCCTCTTTCTACAACAGCTTTAAGTCCAATTGTTTCTGCTGATACCCATTCAACAACCTGGTATCCCACTACAGACTTCCAAAATATTATAACTGACTCTGCACCTACAGCGTCTGATAGCCCCACATCTGTTACCATGACAGCTCCTTTTACTGATGCCATTACTTCATCAGCTCTTACTACAGGGTCTCTTTCTACAACAGATTTAAGTACAACAGTTCCTGCTGATACTGCTTCTACAACTTGGAATCCCACTATGGACATCCAAAGTATTATAACTGACTCTGCACCTACGACATCTGATAACCCCACACCTCTTACCATGACAGCTCCTTCCACTGATGCCATTAGCTCATCAGCTCTTACAATGGAGCCTCTCTCTACAACAGCTTTAAGTCCAATCATTTCTGCTGATACTGCTTCTACAACTTGGTATCCCACTATGGACATCCAAAGTATTATAACTGACTCTACACCTACGACATCTGATAACTCTACACCTCTTACCATGACAGCTCCATCCACTGATGCTGTTACCTCATCAGCTCTTATAATGGGGCCTCTTTCTACAACAGATTTAAGTACAACAGTTCCTGCTGATACTGCTTCCACAACTTTGTATCCAACTATGGACATTCAAAGTCTTACAACCAATTCTGAGTCTGCACCTACGACATCTGATAACCCCATACCTCTTACCATGACAGATCTGTCTACTGAGGCTGTTACCTCATCTGCTCTTACAATGGAGCCTCTTTCTACAACAGCTTTAAGTCCAATTGTTTCTGCTGATACTGCATTCAACAACCTGGTATCCCCACTACAGACTTCCAAAATATTATAACTGACTCTGCACCTACAACATCTGAATACCCCACAGCTCTCACCATGTATGCTCCTTCTACTGAGACTGTTACCTCATCAGGTCTTACAATGGAGTCTCTTTCTACAACAGATTTAAGTACAACAGTTCCTGCTGATACTGCTTCCACAACGTTG